AAATCGGTGTGTATGTGGTAGAAATCTTTGTGTCGTGAAAATCCTCGTTTGATGCAATAACCATTTAATACAATTCACTCTAAACACGATTCGGCCGGATTCATGCCATGGTGTCTCAATGAATTTGCTTTGGCATTTTATTTGAGCCGTGCCCCGTGCTGAGTCGTTATATACCGAAGAATAAAGTAAGTCCTTAATCGATGCGTACCTTAAAAAGGACAGACACATAAATAATGCTAACTTGTGAAAATGCTCGAAGAAAATAATCTTCATGAAGGCGAAGAAAAGGGCAACACACATCTCACTCAGAATATCCGTTGGGTTTTGTCAGTGTGACCCCATTCGGTGTAGGAATCAAAAAGACGTAAACCAAATTACAAAATGATCCCACTTACTGGCCTCTATAATGATATTAGAAAAACCATAAATATCCACCGAAATCGATTACTTAAACATTTTATTGGGCTTATGCTCATATTTCACACCAGATGAACCCACTAAATGAATTAGAAGCGGTTTCAAGAAGCACCAATTAGTCGACGATAAATGTTTTTAAAAAAACGCATTGTATCCATCCATCCATTTCATCTCACTTGCGAGCGTAAGAGTATGGTATATTCTTTACGATGCCATTTATTTTGTGAAATGTGTTAATTTCACATAAACTTTGTTGCGCCTTATCTTCGTTTCCTGATCGATGTGGATCGGTGACGTTGTTGCTGATGATGAAAACTCGTTAAAAGATATATAGGTGTAATTATTAATGATTAAATCTACATCCATCTTGAATCTTGCATGGAAAGATGACGATACGCGCGTCTGCTAAAAATGCGAGAAAATTATGTTTGTTTTATCACTCTCCACTAAAAATCTAGTCGATAAAATTTATGAGTCGTTTATTAAATCAAGTTAGATAGTTAAAGGCTGCGAGCTGTACATGAATGGAGGCATCAGCTTCTATCATCATCAATGTTGAAAATAGAAGAGTTTAACATGCTACAAAATCCCAAAAGGTATAGTGAAAGAAGGGAGGTATGGTGTGTAATTTCTACATTTATTTAAGAAAGTCGTATTTTGAGCTTCGATGACGGTCTTCAATCCACACCTGCAATGTTTGCTTTTGACAGACACGAATTGACGTCAATTTCAAGTATGTATTTGCCCACTGAACACACATTTCAGCGAACACTTTCTCTCACCGCCGAATTTTACGACGCAATGGCTTTGGCATAAAAAGACGCTCGCTATGAAGGACACTTTAAGCCATAAAAAGCGGCAGAATTTGCGAACACCGCGCGCAAGCAGAGCACATCGAGTATAAAATGTAAAATTGTTGCAAATTACACCGCCTGCAGTCAATCATGCAGGTGGATTACACTAATGGTTATATTGGCATTGGCTCCTTTGGTTGGTTAATCAATTCAAAAGCGCTACCGATTGCCACCGTTATGATTATCGTTAAAAGTCTGTGCTGTGTAAGTCCAAGTACTCCATTTGAATACAAATGATTCAAATTGCCGTCGGTTTTATGTTTATTCTTCGTGTGATTCCAGCGTGTTATTTTTTTCTATTTTACGATGGACTTTGTAGATCAGTCTTCGTTTCGGTTTGATTAAATTCCGACATGAAAATGTTAATACGCTCTTGAACGAAAGTTTGCAATCAAATGGAATGTGACAGTGTCGGCATAAAATCAAATATTGTCGCTTGATATGGTACACCATAATTTCCATACATTTTATTAAAATTTGTTCGCTGATCACAAACATTGGGCTCAAACCATCGACAAAAAAAAACATATTCATAGCATAACGGAATATGTAAAACCGAACAATGTACAAATTACCCACATAATTTTAATGATATTAAAAGGAGAAGAAGACAGAACACAATGCGAGTTGTGTGTGAGAGATGCGCCCGTTCATTTGGAATGCTGCAATGTGTCGTTCGATGGCATTTCGTTCATTGGTTCGTTCCATTCAAAATTTGAATATCTTGGCGTCTGCTTTATATGCCATACCGTTTTCAGCTCAAGAGACATTCGGCACACAGACAATAAAACACTTTCCAATGTTTGCCGAACCAAGGATGCGAACGAGAAGAAAAAAAACAACAACCGGAGGAGCCTGGCAAAAGGATGGCGTGCAAACAGAAACCCCAAATGAATTAAAGAAATACACATGCAAAGAGGACACACTGTGAAGAAGAACAACGAACTGTAGTCGATTGTTGAATTCGAAATGCACTGTATTATGCTAATAGTCTGAGCATTTTTGCTTAAATATCCATTCTATTTTTTTTTCGATGTGTCGGCATGTGCACGCGCGTCTTTCTAAGAAGCTCCACGTGACACTTGGAGTGTATAAATTATAGACAAAAACAACGGGAATTTTTGACAGAGAAAAACAATGGGGAACAAAAAACTCGAGTTCAGGCAGGCAGGCAGGCAGGGCGAGCAGGCAGTTGGATTTCCAACGTATTAATTCATCAAACTCTGAATTCATTGACACAAAGCACCCATTTTTGCATAGCTTTCGACTCCATTTATGACCGTGTGTCGCGTAGAAACATTCCGCTGCTATTGATTTTTATCCCTTTTGTCAAGCCTACTTGATATGAAATGCACAGAACAGCCACTTTTCACTCGTGCGTTGCTTGAAGCGACAAAAAATGGGTTTGCTTCAATCAGCAATTTAGAGTTTTTCTACTCGATGGGTTCAAGTTCAAGTTGAGCTCTAATCTCAGTCAGCTGAAACGGTGCAAACAGTGTACACGAACTCAATTCCATTTTATACATATACACTCACATTTTGCACTAGTGATACACACCACTTTCTCGTCCGATGGAATTATTTTGTCAGTCGTTGAGTTAGTTATACCGTACTTAAATATTTATACGTACTTATTTATCTCACAGACGCCACTCAATTATCCAATCTTGTACAGCGTAATGCGTAGCACTGCAAAGGTGTTCAACCGTTTCGAATGGTCTTAACTTGCATGTAATCCGAGCACAACACCACTTGTGCACTGCTTTATACGCAGGATTTGCGGCCGTTTCTAATTTTACAACATAATAAAGCGTCGAGGTTATATCTGCTAATGCAAATTCAAAGACAAGTAATGCGCAACATTTTCGGTAGAAAATGCTTAATTATTTGATAAAGTTGCAATTAATTATTCGCATGAATATTTCAACGCTTCAATGAATTTACTGAATGAAGTACATTGTAATCAAGCGATCATTTCATTGCATCATTGTAAGACCTTTCATTTGGTGGTGGCATTTTAATAATTTAAGGGTTCCGTTAAAATTCATGCTGTGGCTTATCGAAAATTTTCATTCACAGATCAAAGGGTTCGAAATGCGCTTTAACCATAACTGCAAATTACCACTTTGATCAATCAACCTTAATACTTTTGAGAGGACCACAATTTACTGCCCAGATTTATACTGGCCTATTATGTAAGAGTCTTGCAGTAAGACACTCTCACACAACGCATTCGAATGGTATGTTTCGCCTCCCACGAAGTGTAGTCGATTGCACAGTAAAGGAGCATCATTTCATTACATGAGTACAATTGCGAATTGAATAAAGTAAATTGAAATCTCTTTGAATCCCATAAACTTAAAGATGCACTTGATTCATGCTTTGTACACAATGCTCTTCCCTTCATGGAACTTTTGTGTTGGCAACCATTTCACTTCAAATTAAAATGAAGTACAAAAATACATTGCAAATTGCAACTACCGCCAGCCAATTCACTTGCTACAGCTCTCGCCATCCAGCAATTTATAGCAAATATTTGCCACTTGTTACTGCCATTTTTTTTTTCATGTTTCATGCAACATGCAATTCGTCGTCCGAAAGCAAATCCAATTATTTTTTACCTTGCTGTGCTAATTCCTATACTACCTAAGTTTACTCGTGTTTATCGTACACGACGACAATGGCAACGATAAAATGGCTGCAATGGAAATGCAAGCAATAATTTAACGAACTATTCGGAGCAGTCTGCTCCATAACCAGTTCAGTTTATTTTCTTGTCCATACCCAAATGCAGTTCTAGGAATATTGTGGCCATTATGAAATCACAATAGTTTTTTAATTGCCGCTGTCAAATGAAAAGTAAATAGAAAAGTAAAGGTATAGTTATTAGCATTTAAGAAAGAAGATGAATTATGACGTTGAGTGATTTAGAGGCAATGACAAAAATGCCAGTTCCACCACAAAACCCTTTCATTCAATCAGTTTACATTTCTTCAAAGAGCAACTCAGTAGCTGCAACTGAGTGCAAATTAATAAGCTTCCCCTCAATGTGAATGGAATTCGATAGTTTCAACTCAAGACATCATATGGAGCGTTCAGTGGAGATGGTAGAGTTTTCATCGTTTGTTTCATGCTCCAAATTCAACACGCTGCTGCTCTGCTTATTTTGATATTTCGATTTATGTGAGCCAACCCACTCGTTTTAGTTTCATACTTTTTTTCACATATCTCTCTCTCTCTCTTTCACTTTTTCTTCAGTGTTTCAATCACCAAAACAAGTTAAGGTTCAAAAGTCATAGTAATTTTGAAGTTGTCAAATGGACAGACACAAATTTAATTCAAATAAAATTGAGAAAATATTTCTTTCGTTTTAATTTTAAACATTCAAAATATTGTAACGTTTACAGAGTGCTTTTTATTCTTTTTCCAGGACAACCTCTAGTGTTTAAACCGTTTACCATAAATATTTGTCCGGCCATAGTGTTGTTCGAAGGGATACCAACCGGTATTGTAACATCAAAGTAATTGAAATTGATGGATCGTGAAGTTGTCACAAATAAAGTTTTCATTTTCGGACCGCCGAAGGCAACACCGGTAATACTATCGACAGGCAAAAGTATAATATTTACAACACGTCCAGTTCTGTAATTGAAGAAAATATAATATTGTTTTTATGAGCGGAAAAATTCCATCATTGTGACTGAATACATCAATTCAAAAATTGGATGGTCACACATACTTTGGATCTATTTCGACAACTTCAAATCCCAGGTATAAGCCCACAAATAAGTTACCATTACAACTAATATCCATTCCCAATATAGCGTATGTTTTTGTTGCTGGAAATGTATATACTGGACGTGGATCTCCTAAAATTTTATAACAGAATTTAAAACACAAAAAACTGCATCAACTTTATAATTAAGATATGTTATCTTCTTTCGATTCTTACTTATCTCGCCAGTTTCTGGTGACCATTTGTATTCAAAAATGGTGTATGTACAGGAGTCAAAGAAATAGAATAGTTTTTTTCTTTTATTCCATGCAAAACCAGCGACAGTGTCTAAATTTTGAATAAGTGGTACAATGTCACCATTTTGTCGGAATACGTAGACCGTACCGTTTACGTCTGATGTTCGAACACAGCCGACTGTTCGATATGTTCCAGTTACGAGTCTCCCCTCTGGATCGATTCCCCCAATATCAAGATGGTTTGACGCGTAAATGGGATTTTGCTCGATGGCCGTTATGTTACGAACGGTTGTCGCAGTCGGTGATACACCATCCCAGTTAATCACCACAATTCGTTTGTCATTGCTAGCGGCCAATTCATTGTGTCCAATCATTGGTAAGGCGAATGTTGGATTAATCAATCCACCTGCGAGGGTGGCACTATACAACCGATTCTGTGCGTAATCATAACGATAAAACAATTGCTCTCGATTCCCCAAATAATCGACCAAGTACAAACTTTGCGTTTCTGCATCCCAATACGGATTATAACCATAACTTAGGATATCCGGTGCTATTGGTGTAATACTCCATTTCGAACACTCACCAAAATTCTTGTGGGCCATGCACGTCTATTACAAAATTCAAGGTAAACACTTTTAATTAGACAATGACAAATCACTTTCAAAAAACATTACATTTATATTCTAGCATAACTGATTTATATTTAGATGTAAAAAAATAAACATTCTGTTCAACATGATTAAATTAAAGAAATCCAAATCGGCTTAACACTTATAAAAAGTTATTTTTTTGCATAGTACCTAATATTTTAAACCAAAACGTTATCATTTTATCTTACCACAAAAGTGCACAGACATTGTATAAAAAAGAATAGTAAGCATTTGTAAATTTTCGATTAATGTATCAACAACTCAATCAAAATCAGAATTGAGTCGGTCATTTTATACAATTTCTAATGTAGGCTGTGCAAATTGTGATTTCGTTTTATCAAATTGAATGTTATTCAAATAAAAAACAGACTGCAGATTGCAGTCTGCCACAATTCCATGAAGAGAGACAATGAGCACAATGTACGGAAAACATCTTTATGTTCCAGATTCAAATGAATGTAGAAAATTTCTCGCAAATTCATTTTTGCACATTTTGAACAAAAAATTTATATTGAATGCATACATATTGATAAACTGTATAAATTTACCTTGACAACTACAATGAAATTTGTTCATTTTTGTAGCACACACTGATTAAACGGCCACAACGGATATGCAAACATTAAATAAACGAAGTATTCTATAACATACACTCCAATTTATTTGCCGTCATTCATTTGAATGTCATTCCAAACCGTGACCATATAAATCTTCAGTTGTCATCGGCAGAACAAAAAGAAAGGCGAATAGAATATAATTGGGTGCATAAAACAATTCTTTCAATTCTCCTTCTTCGTATTGATACGATGAATTATGACATTGAATGATTAGAAGGCAATGAATGTGCCAGTTTCGGTGGAAAAACCTTCTATTTCACTTTGTTTACATTTCTTCAGAAAAGGCAATTGAGTGTAAACGAAATTTCTCTCAATTTTGATGGTGTTCGATTGGTTCAACCTCAAAACTGACTCATTATGTGGAGCAGTCAGTGGAGACGGTTGAATTATAGCATTCCTTCTGTGAACGGCTTTATTTTGATATACTTCTAGTCTGTTGTTGCTGTGCTCATTCTGATCGTTTCCAACTGATTTCAATTTAATTTATTCATTCATTCATTCTTGAATTTCCTAGTTTCTTCTGATGCATTTTCTTGTCTTCGTATTTCAATATGTTGTCTCATTTGCTTCTTTGTACCAACATGCTTCGGCATGAGTTGCTACGGTGGGATACAGCGCAGATGTAATGAATGAAATTTTGATTAATTGACCTGATAGTGACAGTTCAGGATACATTTGTCATGCTTCCAATCAAATTGATTGCTGATAAACATATTTGGTGGGTGTCACATTGTCTCCGACGGAACAAGTCGAGTCATAAAAGCGGTCGCTTTGCTTCGATGCATGAAACGGTTACCATGATAAATGAACACGGTTGGCAAGCAGCCAGCGTCCTTAGCAACAATACGTACGCTCAATCAAAGTAAACGAAGTTCATAACTTGTTTTTTTTTCTGCTGTTCACCAAAACTCAATTCAATTTATTGTGCAAGGGAAATTTAAACCAACTGAGTTTGTAATAAAAAAAAAAACGAATAAAATGTGTTATTCCAGTAAAACAAATCACATTCTCATACCGAAGAATGCAGCGAACCGATAAAAAACCAAATGCAACCCACTTGCTCATCGAGTTAACCAAGTTGAAAACTCAGCAGAAATATTTGGAAGCAACCCAAGCATCTTTGAAGCCCGTTAGTCATACTCCGTCTGAGGCGAGTGAATTGAACGATTTGGAATATTTGAAAATCGAACAAGATTTGAATACATCAGCACTCACCGACAAACTAAAACATGATGCATTCCGTTTGCATGATATGGTGAACGATTTTCGCTGTGAAATGCTGAATGTGGCCAGTTTATGTAAGTTTAATACGAAGCAATATCGTGAACGTATCGAAGTCATTGATCAGCAACAGCGTGAACTTGATGCCAAAAATTTGGACCAATTGAAACAACTCAAAATGGAATATTGCAACATTGAAAGCGAACTCTTGCCGTTGATGAGCAATTTGGATTTATTGGAAAAAATGCCAACAATAAAAAATAAAATCAGTACATTGAACATGCGACGAGTCCAATCGGCACCAATCGATAAAACCGATTCGGACGATGTACGGCGATTTGATAGATATTTGAAAGAGCACAACGGTCACACTGGCGGCTGGATTCAAGAAGAACATTTGCTATTCGTCAAACTCAAAAATAAACATAACAATAGCATCGAACAAATATGTGCGGCATTTCAGGCATTTCTTGTGGGTAAGAACAACTTTTCTATAGAGAAAATTTTTTTATTTAGAAAAATCTAATGAAATGGGAATTTGAACAATGTTTCTATTAGACAAAAATGAAAAGGAAATACGCACACATAACGAATGGTATGAAAAATATTTGGAATTGAAAATGAAAAAACGACAAGCGGTCCAGAATTGGAAACGTAGTCGAACGCCACTTAGGACAATGCTACAAACCGCTTAAATTGATTGATAATCATCGACGGCAGCAGAGAGAAAGAGAGTTAGGTTAGATTGCATCAATCAAAAATTAATTGACTCGACCGCTTCCATTGGGATAATCGGAATGAGGCATTCTGTCTGCATGCAATTGCCACTGAAACAAATAAATAAAACACACACTCACTTGATGCCGGTTGTCGATTACAATCAATGCCAATGGATTTTTTTTATAATATTATTAGGCTTATTATTGTAATAGTGAATTTTCTATAAATATTCAATATTCTTTGATTTACGAGTGATTTCAACTTAAATTTGATGCTTTCTCTAGATATGATAATAAACACAAAATTTCCACATAAATGTGTAGAGATTTCTTTTCTTTTTCAATACGTAAACAGAGTTTGAGTGAGTTTTCGATCAAAAATATTCCGAAAATTCTTTTTAAGTTGTGCAAAATGGTTTCTGTTCACATTTTTAAAATGAATGAGCAAATGGATGATGATGATTCTTCCATGTTTCTTTGTTTTAGAATAATTTGGATTGTTGAAAAAAGTTTGAAAGTGATATTTTCTCTTAGCGAATCGACGAATTAAAGCGGTGATTTTAGTCAAACCGACTAAACCAGCTCCAGAAATTGTGCGACCGAATGATAGGGTGCGATTCTTAGTTTTTTATTTTAAATATTTTAAGCCAATCAAATCGTATCCATCGCGCTCCTTTTGACTTCTTACTTTCTTTATTCAATTGAGCAATATCCAGTTTCGTCATAAAAAATTTTGAAAATGTGTTCAAAATTTATAAAACTTTTTGCCACCTTAAGAAGAGATGCAACACTGCTCAAAACGTTTTTAAAGTTAGATTGGTTGTCTGTGAATGAATCATAAATTAATTGACTCACGACTGCTTCCGCTGGAATAACTGAAACAAATCAATCAAAATGAAAACCACACATACATTTTGCCGGTTGTCGATTCCAATCAATGTCAATGAATGTTTTTTTTATTTGATACGGTTATTAGCTTTATGATTGTAATACAGTGAATTTTCGCTAAATATGCATTAACATAAAAGCGATTGATTTACGGGGGGATCTTAAATAAAATTCGATGGTTGTTTCCTCGTTCTCTCCATGCGATTGTAATAATATGGGCAAGGAAACGATATGCAAATGGTTGCAATATATTTATAGTTTCCAAAAGGTTGACAAACTTGAACAACAACAAAAAAGACTTGCATAAAACGAAATTTCCACTTAATAAAATAAAAATACAAACCATTTTACATGGTCAATCAAATTAGCGATGATTTCTTTTTCGTAAAACCAGGAAACACCTATATGTGACAGCGTTTTTTCTTTACTTTTTCATTGATTTGATTATGAAAATTAGTTTAAAAATTATACATCAATATCAATAAAATTACAATAAAAGCCAGTAAAAATGTGAATCATATAAAATCATCGCAAATCAATATTGATAATACTTAAAATTCGCATATCAAGTGAATAAAAAATTTGAAGAAAAAGAAATCATACGAAAGTTCCAAATTGAATGAGCTCATTATGGGCGAGTTTGTGTGTGTATGAAAGAAACAAAATCCTTCGGCATTACGTTCTACATAAAATAAATGCGACTAGTTTTATTAACCAGAATCAATCTATGAACTAACCAGCAGTAGAAAAAAAACCGCTTTAATCGTAGACAAATACAAATAAATGCATTTTCAGAATATATGCATATTTATATATAAATAGAAACATATTGATTATGGCGTGTGAGCGCAGTTAACTCTTAATCATTACATTATCTAATCGCTTATTACAATTTTAGCTTTATTCATCTATATAGTTTGTTGTTGTTGCTATTTGTTGCACAGAAAAGTGTCGCCCCTTTTTCTTAGGTATATACAAAATTGATTCAATTTCGATTACTTATTGACATACAATGATTTATTTGCACAGAACTGATAAAGCTCCGTGAAAACATTCTTATAATTGAATTGAATTGATTAAATCGATCGTATTGGGTTAGTCGTAATTTATAAATTGATGGTTGATCATGAAATTCGCGTGAAAATAATGCAATTCGAATGAGAAATTAATGGCATTGAATAGAGTGATCGAATACAAATAGAATAAAAATGGATGCAAATTAAATAAATTTATGCTGATGCAGGGTCTATTTAAAGTATGAAGGCTTCGATTAAGGCGCCGTTGAACACTCCGTCCGATGAAATTTAATCTTCATTTAATGTATTGCTGGCAAAGTTCAACGCTTCATCTTCTCGCGGACATAGGCCACTTTTTGTGTCGTAGTCACCATACGCACATGTCGGTCTCTCACATTCTTCGGACGTTATGCATCTGTTGGAATGGAATTTAGTTTGGATTAATCTTATTTTATTCAATTTGTCATTTTTTTGCTTTTTTTCCTATTTATCTGCAAAAATTCACCACTATTATAAATTTCTAATTGAGTATGAAACAAAATGCGAATCAAAACGCGTATGAAACTGTCCCTTACCTGCGTTCTAATATCGAAAAGTGTTCAAGTCCTGCCTTCAGCTTGTTGCAAATGTCATTTACTTTATTTGATGTACAATCGCATTTACATTGTGAACGATGTACGTTTGTAAAATAACTCGGGCATCTACATCTACTTATGACCGTGTTAACTTCCGTCACTGGTTCATCGCTGTAGCTAAGCGGTGTATTAGCTATTTTCGTCACACAATGGCATTCGGTGTGATTTTCGAAAGTCAATTGTTCAATGGTCGGTTGGCCTTTTGAATGCACCTTAAGTAGATAATAAATAGGATTAGATCATTGCTCTCTCTCTCACAAACCAAAAATCAAACACAAATAATTGAATAGAGACACCAATTATTGGTATTAGAAAATGATTAGCATTTACCCAAAAGACTAATGTAACATTCTCCTTTCGAAGAGGCTGGCACGTCTTGTAGTTTTCATGGCAACATCCTGTTTCATCGCTGCATCGATGCAACACGGTGCAGTGTGGTGTATATCTCTTGGAAGTGTGATTTCCAACTTGAAGTAACTTCGGTTTTGGCCACTTGCATGCGCCCTCTCTGTTAATTCGACTCGTATGTGCGTTTGCTAGCCTTCCTATATTTTTATAAAACCGAAAATATTGCATTATTATCCAGATTTCCGTACAAAAGAACCCATTCATCGTGATTATAATGCAGTAATGCGATTAGATACGGTTTTATTTTCATTTTTTATTATTAATTTAGACATTTCTCTCGGTTTGTTTTCAAATATTCAATTCGAGTAAGCATTCAGTTTAGAAATTCATGCATAAAAAAATTAATATTTATTTTCTATTCACTTACTCAATTCGTGAAGAGGAAACTCTTGTCTAAATGTATTCTGCACCGCTTCAGCATTACCCAATCTTTCGAATTTTTCTCTCGTCAAGTCTCCCGGTTGGTTGCCATTCTGTAGAAGAAAAAAAGACCATAAATAAACGCATTAGTTTTTTTTCTTCGTATATGTATGTCATATTTTCAATCTTAGTTCGGCTTAACAATTAACCGTATCACAGCGTCATATATAAATTCGGCTTATCAGCTCAATTATAACTCTATCGGTGTTCCTGATGAAAAAAAAAACACACCAAAATTAAACGAAAAAACAAAAACAAAAAGAAGCTCCAAAACTGTAGGCGGTTTTTAGTTAAATCGTTTCGAAGAAGAATAAAAGTGAAATTTGCATTGTGATAAAAGTGAACCGAACGAGATAACTGTCGCTCCATATCGTAGGTCATTATCGCCTTAATTTCGGTGTTGTATCGCCGTAAATGGGAAATGTGTTAGATGTGGTAATGATATTCTCGGAAACTGCTTGCGCAACGATTGCATATACATTTATAAATGCTGGAAAAAGAGCGCACACGATGATAATATCATTGTTTCAACACTGATTCGAATGAAAAATAAATCATTATCCACGGTTTTGTTGTTCAACAAATTTGTGACTTTGTATCGCTTTTTAGCGGCGCTGTTCTTCAACTCGCCTCATTCGGCATCTTCAATATTCGTTGCTCGAATGAAAAGCAACGAAAAAAGAATTTATTCTGAAACGAAAATTTATTCAAAATTACGTGCATCACCATGTTCGGTGTGACAAATCAATTTTCAGGAATCATTTAAATATTTCAATATTTTTGTGCCCGATTCCAGCGAGTCTGCGACGTGTTAAGAATAGAATGTTTTACAAGCGTCAGTCATTTGGATGGAATGTACAGAAACGAAACGAAAGAAACAAAAAAAAAACAGATCGAGAACATGTGAATTGCAAACTGAAACTGGCGAACAAATTTAAATCGAACGAATTGAATATGCAATTGGCTCTATAAAATGGCTGTTTTTTTATGATAATAGGCATTTTAGTATTCAGCATGTTGGATTTTGTGAGAATTTCAGCCACACACACACAGACACACACATACGCTCACTCGTTCGGATCATTGTAAAGAGCAAACGCGATGACGTGGTCGAAAATTGAAGTGTAGAAAGAAAAAAAAAGTTAGCCACGAAGAAGTCACAATGTAGTTCAGTCGTCGTATTTTTTCTTCACCTCCAGAACGATCAATAATCTGTAATTATTGTGGAGAGTGTGTGTGTGTTTTTTTGTGCACATGAACGAAAAAAAACTCAGCAGATCGGTAATTTTTTTTTTAGAATGGAAAATATAAATTCATGTGAACCATTTCTTTGTTTTGCCGGCTCAATGGCTTTGTAAATGCCAATGAATGCAACGAATAAAACGGTTCGCTTTAAAATATCGCCTGCACCATTCAAGATCACACACACACATAAACACAATTAATGCACCAAAGATGAATCCATTGCACATAAATACGAAAGACGAAAACGTATCGATTTCAAATTGGAAATTAAACAATGGAAAAGTACAAGATCATCATCAAAACCCATTTCACATGCGGTGAATGATGATGAATCGAATACCTTTTCTTCTTCATCGAAAATCGTTGCAACGTACCAAGTTGCACGGTGTGTTCCGCTTAATTCAGCCCATGTTTCGGCATGTTGTTGGCTCTTTCTTCTCTTTCTCTCCATCTCTCCGGTTGCTTTTCATTCAAGACAAATCGATTCGAGCACACCGAGCATCTCGTGTAATTCGAAATTGAAGCGATTTTCTCCTCTTTTGACGAATGGTAAATTCTATATGTACGAAAATTTTGTAAGTACTTGCAGAATTGATAATTACATATTTTCTACTTGTTTTACGACCTGCCGATCGTTTCGATTGTGTATGTGTCATGACATACTCCTATCAGACAAAACAAGACACAATTAATTATAAATGAAAAATGATGAAATGTTGAGAAAAAAAAAATATCACAATGCAGTGCGCACAAACTTCGAAAATGAAGAGAGGTAGAGGGATAGAGAGAAAAAAGCACAGTGATTTATAAACACGCGCGATACGCAGACGTAACACATATTGACAGCTGAACCGGCAAAAAAATATATATATTTCAGCGGAAAAGAAATGTCTACAATAACAACAACCACAATGCGTTTAAATATAAAACGAAAGAGAAACGACACACCGCAGAGAAAACAAAAATATACCGAACTCAATGTTATCAAATGGGGCGCACGTCTGATTCAGACGATCTGAATGAATATCGCTCGTCATACAAACAGAACGAATTCCGGGCTCGAGTCATGCCGTACATAACATCTACAGGTGGAGATGTAAGTGTTCTTTTTCTACATGATTATTCTCTTTCTCTCTCTCTCTCTCTTTCTCTCTCTCTCTCTCTCTCTCTCTCTCTCTCTCTTTCTCTCTCTCTCTCTCTCTCTCTCTTTGAAATTTCATATGGTAACTGGATGGTTATAGGTTTGGCAAGCAAACGATCTAATGTCATCCGAATGCCAATACGAATGCATCATCATCATCATCATGCATGCATTTATTCCGTTTCGCCGTAAAAGCATTCAAATTTTAATAGTCGTAGACCGAGTGAATATGAAATATTCAAGTACTTTGTCAAGATCCCCAGAGCCAATTTTCAACCATTCATTGTTCGTATGCCACACAATTTTTTTCTTTTCTAAAGATCGAACGAACAATAAAATGACGAAAATCGTTTATGCAGCAGTTAATAAAATTACTGGTGCACACCAGAAATGGAAATGAATGGAAAGCCTTTGTTTTTCACCTCCAATTCATGCGTCTAGTGTTGTCATAAAGTGAAGTACATGCAATTATATATGTGTGCTAAGCAGCAGCCACAGTACACCTCAAAATGACAAGAGTCATAAAATAACGGTTGATTGCATAACAGCCCGTTGATTGAATAGAAAATTGTGTGTCTATTTCATACATAATAAAAAAAAATTAAACCTTATCGAGCCTTTTAATAGTGGAAAAAGAGGCGGGCGTATCTGCCGACAATATAGCCGTAAAAACCAAATTCGAGTAGAAAAAAAACTGATTCATTGAATTTAAAATTGAGTTGTGTGAACAATGGCCTACTCATAATGTGTGTGTGTTTATGTGTGTGCATGATTCATGTGACACGACCAAAATTCCAACGAGTTTCTCGTATGTAACACCGTTACAATAAACAACCCAAATAAATCATCAATCAAACTTGACAATAACTCACTTCGCTCAATTTGACTTTGAACTTTTCGAGTCAACACCGTAATGTAGGCCATAACTTGATTTGTATCGCAAATTCTCGATGCCATCTTCTGAGAATAGACTTTCTTTTAACGATGCGTAATTTTACATATTCAATTTGGGTGCAATTAATAAATTAAAAGATTAATCATATTTTTGGCGGGTAAGTGCCTCGAGTGTTCGGTTTGAAAGTGCGTGCCTCACGCAGAGAGATAATTGAAACAATGAAAAAAACTGTAATGTTATGGATCAAAAGAACAACAATGTTTGAATCAAAATGAGAAAAAGATTGAAAAAAGAGAGAAAAAAAAATACGGGAATTGCTCAATTCAAGTGAATCAAAATCGGTTCGTGGCAAAAAGTTCTTTCGTAAAAGAATCTCCATAGCAGTAAGTTGCTCACGTACATTCAACTTCAATACGCGATTGAATGTTTCCCTTTGGGCGTAAATCGTTGTATTCGATGGGAATCGTTTGATTAGTGCCCGTAATTCGAATGGGAAAATATTTGTCAAATTCACTGTTGATTCTGTTGCATTTATGCATCCAGAGAAAATGACTTCATTTAGCGCGCGCTAACAGCGGCTCCATTTGGATTCATTCAAATAGCTGCAAGACAGAAATTTCTTCGATAAACCGCACCGTCTAAACCAATTTCATTACATTTTTTTTATTATTGGCCGGTGTGGAATGGTGATGAAAGATGATATTAATATGGAGAATAAAAATTCTTAAATAGTACAAAACATTAATAGGTCACGAGTCACGACTCTCTAGCAGTTGGAGAGTCAGAAAACAATTCTGACCCCTTAGGATATGGTTATTTAATGCGGCTTGCATATGTGAAGAAATAAGCAACGGCGGCCGATCTGGATATATGTACATGGGGCATGGAAATTTGCCTGTAACTTGTTAACATGTTGATATATGTTGTGTGTGTGCGCATGAGAGATGCTGTGCGATCGATGTGTTTTAAGATTGAAATTCGAGAGTATGTGCACATTCGATACGAATTCTATCAATGCGTGCTTTTTTTATGTTCAATGAACCTGAAACTAACAAATTGGCCCGTATGATCGCCACACACACACACACACACACACACAGAGGCACACCATCGGTCTACTGCTTATGATCTTATCGATTCCGAATTTTTCTTTCACATACAAACCAGCAAAAAAAACAACAACACATACAACAAATGTGCGCATGTTAGAATCAAACGGAGAGAGGAAAAAAATCGATTTCATCCTACGTGTGCCTACGGGATGGCAGCGGCAAAGACACACAGACATATGTTTTCTAGAGACAATAATATATGCAGCAAAATCATCGTTTTTTGTTGAAAAGGAAGTGATCGCATAAAAATACGGACAACAGCAGCAACGGCAGCGTAGCATCAGCAAAAAAAACCATCCATTGACTCTTAGTGCATGTGTGCTCTCAATTGAAGCATATTTTAGAACCATTAACAAGACTGGCCATTAAACAAAAATTTAAATGTGTTCGATTCGACGTATAAACAGAAGTTTGTTCTATTCGAATTCCGAAAACAAATTCATTCATTCCATGGCCGTTCGTTCGAGATGCAAACGAAAACCCAGTTTCTCGTCGGGCTTCTTTTTTTTTTCTTCTTTTTTTCTGTTGGGTTCAAACTCTGTTTATATGGCACAATAAATTAGTGGTTTCTTAGAATTGAGATGGCTATGTGGCAGACAAAATACACTCTCAAGTGTTTATAAATCAATAAATAAATCGTTAAAAAAGGCGAAAAAAACA